CAAAAAAAAAATCACAAATAAACAATAAACAAATAAATAACTAAATAACTGAATAAAAATAAATAAATTAATAGAAAATAACAAATAATAAACAAATAACTAAATAAATAAATAAAAATAAATAAATAAATAGAAAATAACAAATAAACAATAAACAAATAACTAACTAAATAAAAAAACAAAAAAACAACAACAAATAAACAATAAACAAATAAATAACAATAACAACAATAACAGTAATAAAAACATGTCGCCGAGAGAGAGAGAGAGAGAGAGAGAGAGAGAGAGAGAGAGAGAGAGAGAGAGAGAGGCAAACTCGACATCCATTCTCAGACTCCCGGTCACGATGACGTCAGATGCCAAAGGTGGAGGGAGAGGGGAGCGGAGAGGGGAGAGGAGAGGGAGGGAGAGGGAGAGGGAGAGGGAGGGGAAGGAGAGAGGGAGAGGAGAGAAAGGGGAGAGGGAGAGGGGAGGAGAGCGGAGAGGGAGAGGGAGGAGGGGGGAGAGGGGAGAGGGAGGGGAGAGGGGAGGAGGGAGGGGAAGAGGGAGGTAGAGGGGAGGGGGAGGGAGAGATGAGAGGAGGGGAGAGGGAGGGGAGGGAGGGAGGAGAGGGAGGGGGAGAGGGAGAGGGCGAAGAGGGAGGGCGAGGAGGGAGGAGTAGGGGAAGAGAAGAGGGAGAGGGAGGAGCGGGAGGGGAGGGAGAGATGAGGGAGCCGAGGGGGAGAGAGGGAGGGGGAGAGGAGAGGGAGATGTGGGAGGGGGGAGAGGGGAGGAGGGAGAGGGAGGGAAGGAGAGGGGAGGGAGGGAGGAGAGGGAGAGGGAGAGGGAGAGAGAGGGGGAGAGGGAGAGGAGAGGTGAGAGGAGGTAGAGGTGAGAGGGAGCGAGGGAGGGAAAGGGAGGGGGGAGAGAAGAGAGGGAGAGGAGGGCGAGAGAGAGAGGGAGAGGAGGGGAGAGAGGAGGGAGAGGGGGACGGAGAGGGAGAGGGAGGGAGGGAGGGAGAGGGAGAGAGGAGAGGAGAGAAGGAGAGAGGAGGAAAGGAGGAGAGGGGAGAGGAGAGGGAGAGGAGAGGGAGGGAGAGAGGGAGAGGGAGGAGGGGGAGAGAGGAAGGGAGGGAGGGGGGGTGGAGAGGGAGGGGAGGGGGAAGAGAGGGAGGAGCGAGGCGGAGAGCGAGACGGAGGGAAGGAGAGGGAGAGGAGAGGGGAAGGGAGGACGGGGAGAGGAGAGATGGCGAAGGAGAGGGAGAGGGAGAGGGAGAGAAGGGAGGGGGAGGGGAGGGAGGAGAGCTAGAAGGGAGAGGGAGAGGGAGGGAGGGGAGGAGAGGAAGGGAGGAGGTAGGTTGGAAGCAGGGAGGGAGGGGGGAGGAGAGGGAGGAGGAGGGAGAGGGAGAGAGGGAAGGAGAGGAGAGAGGCGAGAGGAGGAGCGGAGGGGAGAGGGAAGAGAGGAGAAGAGGAGGGAGGGAGCGGGGAGAGGGCTGAGAGGAGGGAGGAGGGAGGGGGGGAGAGGGATGAGAGGGAGAGGGAGGGGAGGGGGAGAGGGAGGAGGGAGGGAGGGGAGAAGGGAGAGAGGGAGGGAGGAGGGAAAGGAGAAGACGAGAGAGAGAGAGAGAGAGAAGAGAGAGAGGAAGATGGAGAAGACGATGAGAGAACGAGACGGAGAGAGAGAGAGACTGAGAGAGAGAAGAGAGAGAGAGAGAGGGGGGGGGGGGAAGTGGGGGAGGTTGGAGAGGAGAGGGAAGAAAGAGATGGGGAGGAGGGAGGAGGACAGTAAAGGAGAAGGGACGAGAGGGAGATGGTAGAGGCGAGTGTGAAGAAGGAGAGGGAGAGAGAGAGGGAGAGAGAAAGGGAGGAGGGAGGAGGAAGAGAGTGAGATGGAGAGGAAGAAAGAGATGGGGAGGAAGGAGAGAGAGGGAGGGGACAAGAAAGGAAGAAGGAGAGAGGGAGAGGGTAGGAGAGGAAGAAGGAGAAGGGCGGAAGGAGAGAGGGAGAAGGGAGATGCAGGGGGGTGGAAGAGAAAGAAAAGAGAAAAGGGAAAAAAAAAAAAGACGAGATAGGGGGGAGGTATAAAAAAAGAGAGAGAGATAGGGAGGGATAAAAAAAAAAGAGAGAAGAAAAAGAAAAGGAAGGAAGAGGGAGGTACACATGTGAAGAAAGAGAGAAGGAGAAGAGCAAGAGAGAGAATAAAAGAAAGACAGACCAATCCGAGGAAATGGGACGAGATAAGAGTGACAGTTGTGTGGCCTCAAAAAGCAATTAAAATCATCAGTGATTAAACAAACTGACAAAGAAGGGTAGAAGCGGAAAGCAACGAAGGGGATAAAGAGAAGGAGAAGGATGAAAGGAGAGGAAAAAGAAAATAGTCAGAAAGAGGAAAGAGAAAAAGAAAGTAGAAGAATGAAAAGAAAAGAAAAGGGGAAAGATGAAGAGAGAAAAAGAACAGTCAAAGAAGAAAGAGGAGAAAGGTAAGAATATGGAGAGAAAAGAGAAAGGGGGAAAATGGAGAGAAGAGGGTCAAGAAAGAGGAAGAGAGAAAGAAAGTAAGAAAGAAGAATAAAAGAGAAGAAAGAAAAGAGAAGAAAAAAAGACATGAAAAGAACAGAAGAGAGGACGAGAGAGAGAGAGAGAGAGATAAGGGAGACAAAGAAGAGAGACAAAGACAAATAGAGAGAAAAAGAAGACGAGGAAGAAGAAAGAAAATGCGAAAGAAAATTAAAAGAATGAAATAAGGGGAAGTGAGAACTAGAAAGAAAAAAAAGAGAGACGACAAGAAGTAGAAAAAAGTAATGAAGGGAGGTAATAATAATAGTCATAATAATAAATACTAATAATGATAATAATGACAATAGCAACAATAATAATAAAAAATAATAATAATGACGAAAGGAGTAGAGTAATAAAAGGGAGTGAAAGAGAGTCGATTAAAAACAAAAAAGAGAAGAGAAGAGAAGAGAGAGAGAGAAGAGAGAGAGAGAGAGAGAGAGAGGAGAGAGAGAGAGAGAGATGAGAGAGAGAGGGAGCAGAGAGGGAGAGGGAGAGAGAGAGAGAGAGAGAGAGAGAGAGAGGAGAGAGAGAGAGAGAGAGAGAGAGAGGAGAGGGAGAGGGAGAGAGAGAGGAGAGGAAGGAGAGAGAGAGAGAGAGGAAGGGAAGACGAGAAGAGAGGGAGAGAGAAGAAGGAGAGAGAAGAGAGAGAGATAGAGAAGAGAGAGAGGAGAGAAGAGAGAGAAGAGAGAGAGATGAAGAGAGAGAGAAGAGGAAGGGAGAGAGAGAGAGAACGAGCGAAGAGAGAGAGGAGAGATAGAGAGAGAGAGAGAGAGAGAGAACGAGAGAGGAGAACCGAGGAGAGAGGAGAACGAGAGAAGAGAGAGAGAGAAGAGAGAGAGAAGAGAGATATGAGAGAGAGAGAGAGAGAGGAGAGAGAGAGAACGAGAGAGAGAGAGAGAGAGAGAGAGAGAGAGAGAGAGAGAGAGAAAGTGGATGAAAATGAAAGACGTAGGACACAAAAAGAAAATGAGAGAGAAAAACAATAGCAACAACAGAAAAAAATAATAACAAAAATAAAATAATACAAGAACCACACATAAAAAACCGAGACAGAAATACAAAGAAAAAGGACTATGTGGCAACACAACAGAAAACAAAAATCCTATAACAACTTTATTTTACGATACAGAAATTTTCAGACAAACAAACAAAGACAAGGTTGGAATTCGAACTAATTTGCTGACCGTTTCACCTCCCTTTTATCATGGTTCATAAACTCCCTTTTATCATGGTTCATAAACTCCCTTTTATCATGGTTCATAAATAGTTATACCAATTGTTTAACGATTTAGAATATATATTTCACCTATTAGAAGCTTCATTCGCTGTTAACTGTGTTCTGCGTTTGGTGTTATGTGTTTCTGATTTGTTTACGTTTGCGAAAAATTAAGAAAATACAGAAAAAAATATATAAACAGACTTCGTTCGAAAGCGATGCCGTCCTTGACTTCGACTAACTGTGAAGTACATTAAACATTTGTAATATCATCTCCACGATACGAACACCTTAGACAGATTAAATTATTTTGTCTATATTCTTTTATATATACTATTAAATAAGAAGACTTGGTCGATCAAAGACTATCAAGAAACATAAATAAATGGTTCGTGTTTCTGAACCAATCAAACTCCTGGAAGGGGGCGTGGCTTCTCCGCCAATTTAGCGTACGAATATTGGATCATTGGCAACTCGAGCAGGTGTCATGGCGGCTGTTTTGATGATCGTCAATGAAAAATATAACCATTAAAACGTTATTTTCCATTTTTGAAAATTGAAAAGACCAAAAATGACCTATTCACAAACTATCCGTAACTTTCGTGGCGTCATCAAAATAAACCCCATGTTCTTTTTTTTTCCCAAAATAGAATCAGACGCCATTGACACCTCCTCAGGTTGCTACTGATCTAGCCTTCTCCGTAAAAGCATAGTTCTGAAATTATTAGTAAGAAGAATAATGATAATTATGATAATAATGATTCTACCGTTTATAACAACGGTGTGATAATAATGACAATAAAACAAAAATCAACAATACACAACAAAATCAACAACAACAATAACACAACAATCACACTAAAACCCTAACAACAAACAAACAAACAAACAAACAGAGATAAAGACACAACCGGCTCAACAAAACCGGAAAAAAATGACTGCCTGGCACCCAATGACAATAAAATAACAATAATGATAATAATAGTAACAATAATAATAATAATAATAAGAAGAATAACAATAACAATAATATCAATAATAATGATATTTACAATAATAATAATAATAATAATAACAATAATAATGATAATTATTATTATCATGATGATGATGGTAATAATAATAATAATAATATTAATAACAATAACAACACCTAACAACGACAATAAAAATAACAACAATAACAATAATAATAACAACAGATAAATAAAAACTCACAAACCCAAACCGAAGCCAGAGCCACTCACCATGGTCCTGTCGCCCGCCCTGGCCCCCCCGTACTTCCCCACGGCCTCCACGCCCTTCCGCAACGCCCACGCCCACCTCGCCCTCGGGGACACGCCCTCCGAGGGGGAAGGGGCGAGGTGGGAGGCGGCGGTCGTCAGGAGGATGGAGTAGAGACCCCCCGAGGAGCCGCCCATGCTGAAGGAGGCTACGGCGGCGAGGGTGGCTAAGATGGCGGCGGTTGGGTGGTTGGGAGGCTCGGCAGCTGGTCTGAGATGGCTGGGAGGGGAGGAGGGGAAGGGGGAAGGGGGAAAGGATTGGTATTTGCTTTATAAATTTTTTTTTCTTTCTTTCTTTCTGTCTCTTTCTCTCTCTCTCTCTCTCTCTCTCTCTCTCTCTCTCTCTCTCTCTCTCTCTCTTTCTTTCTTTCTTTCTTTCTTTCTCTCTCTCTCTCTCTCTCTCCCCTTCCTTCCAACCGATCATAATCATATAAGAAAATCATAAAATAAAACTTTACATTTTGGATAGCAATACTAGTACTACCTATGATACCAGCAAAATCAGATTATTTAAAAAGGAGTCCAACCAAGAACACCTCAAAATTCTTCCGAACTGTTTCTTAAAAACAATAAACTGAACCCATCTTTTCCTTTTTCAATGTCCTTCAAGCGTTAGTATTTAATTCTCACAATCAGTCCCATTTTCTTTTAAATATCCTCCCAAACGCTAATATCTAATTCTCACAATCAGTCCCATTTAGTTCAGATCCCACTGACCTCGAATCCCAAGGAGCAGCGTGGTACCACAGTCCCCATCGCCGCAGCCGGAGTCGAGGGTGTTAAGGAGCTCCTCATGCTGGGGGACCTTCGCCACGAGGGATTCCAGGCATGCCCTTAGGGCGTGGGCATGGGCAGGGTCTTTCAGGATGTAGCTGCTACCCTTGGGATGGGAGTAATAATAAGTAAATAAATAATAAATAGGCAACGACATAAACATCCACATTGTTAACACTCCCTTCTAAGGTCATCATAAATAACAGAAACAATAACAACACATTAAAAACAAATTAAATCCTTAAAAAATATTTACATTATTAATAGCAATACTAATACTATCTATGATACTGATAAAATCAGCAACAATACTGATAAAAATACATCTGACCAACCAGAGCTTCTCGGGCAGACAGGTTGAGGTCGTACTCGGGCACACTGAATGCCTCGTCCTCGCCACCCTTGTGAATTATGGGCGTCGGCCAGGCCAGCGCGGAAGTTGGGGCATCGAGGAAGGTCACCCATGTGGGGTCCAGGATCCTCAAGACAGAGATGTGCGCGCCCTTCATGTCCAAACTTGTCATGAGTGATCCTTGGTACACACGGACGGGGTTTATGCCGCGCTGTTCTGTGGAGGTGGAAGAGATAAGGATAAAAATAAATGAATAAAATAATAATGGTGGGAGAGACTGCAATTGTGATGAAAAGAGAAGATGGAGGACGTAGTAGCTAGAGAAGGTAGGAAGGAGGAAAAGGGTGGGTGAGACTATGATTATCAGAAACATGCTTATCCCTTTGAATGAATATTATCTTAAATGCCACGGCAATTATCCTCACATCATAATTATCAAAATGATTATCACAGAGGAATCTAGGTGTGGGTTTCTAACCAGGAAAATTACAATGGTGGCAGCACTTCTATACAAGGATGGATGGAAGTGGGAAGTGACAGACCGCTGACCAATTTCTATATCTTGAACGTGGTTATTGTACATCACTGAATTTGGCGTTTTCCCTAAGACATAACAATCCCTGTAAGAAACTATTAATGGACTATTGGGGAAGAATTCATCAACACAAGCAGCAGTATAAAGAAACAACTGAAATGAGCAATGACTAGTGACAACAGAACCATCAAATTTGCCGGAAGATGGCTCTGCATGCCCATGTGGATATAACAACTATGTTATGCCATACCTAACACAAGGCATTATTTAAGGACTATACGTTTGATGAATATATATTTCCGAATTTGATATAAATCAGAATACAGGAATACAACAGAAGTACAATGCATTTCTAAGAGAGTGACGATGATTGACCATGATCTCACGAGGTATGTGTGCTAGGACAGTTTAGGGTGAATAATAGGCATGGAAAGGCTGGATTTTATCATAGAAGTGAAAGAAAGTGTGTGTTTGACAATGAGGAAGAAGTAAGGACAATAACAAAATCATTTCAGATCCCTTACTCAGTTGGATGACAGCTTCCCTCCTCAGGATACCCATCTCAAGCTCCGAAGTGCACCCGAGGTTGTTCACGATGACTGCCACATCATCTCCCTTCTGCAGATCAAGACGTGTCTCCGAGTCCTCCCTCGTCAGGTTGTCCAGGAGCGTTTTCATCACTTCGGATGCTGTTCCTGCCTAAAGGGTGAGAGCAAGGGACGTGACTGGCTGAGGGAGGAATGCACTGATTAGTAACAAGCAGCATCAGCGCTTGGAAGAGATATGCAGTGGTTGGCCATGGGTGGAACAGCATCACAGCTTCCAAAAGAACTGTAGTGATACTCTAAGAGAGAGACTGGAAATTAAGAACGTGACTGCACACGCGAGTTCTTGGGTAGTAATTGGGATAAATGGTGAACAATGGCTAAAAGCAAAAGAAGCAATAATTGGCTGAAAAGTGTAGGATATAATGGTATTGAGGTGAAAGTTTTTAGATAGCTAACAGCTAATTCTCAAAAACAAATAGTCACTGGTTGAGAGAGACAAGAAGAGGTTGGCCAATAAAGTAAAACAGTCATTATAAGCACCATGATTGCCAAATGTTTCAAGCGCCTCACCTTGATAGTGGCAGCCCCTTTCTCGCCATGTACCCCCAGGCCGAGCTCCAACATGCCCTGGGGCACCGTGAAGAGGGGCTTGGGTGCCCCGGGCATCTGGCACGCACTGGCAGCAAAGCCTATAGTTCCCATGGCACCACCGAGCTTGTGGCATGTCTCCAGGGCTTGTTCCAGCGTGGCACCCGTCTGGACCATGGCGCCCACGATCTGGGAAAAGGGAGTCGCCATAAATTATTTATCTGGGTTGTTATAATGTTATTCTATATTTTTTCTCTCCTCGTCTCGACTTTTGACTGTTTTTCATTTTCTAGTGTTTGATCTTAATTTTACTATTGCTTCCTTGAGATCGATTAAAATTATTAGCGTTATATTTTCTTATTCTTATTCTTAATAAAGTTCTCATTGACTCATTACCATATCACATCCTTGACCTTATCATTAGTGTTTCTACTTCATCACAAATATTATTTAAGAACATAATATCGAAAAGTATTTATAATATCCAATTGTTATTCTCTATTTGTTAGGAAAATAATTTATCACCATTCAAGAGATCATTGCTAACATGCATACCAGAACACCTGTGACCTCGACCCCTGACCTGACCTCTGCTCCCTGCTCTCGTCACCAAAAAATATTTGAATTTTCCCACTTTCGCCTCATTTAGACAGGTACCTTGCCTGTATCATCTATTTATTTGAACATGTGCTCTATCCCCGTCCCTCTCTCTCTCCCTCCTTGTGCTCTCTCCCCGTGCTCTATCCCCGTCCCTCTCTCTCTCCCTCCTTGTGCTCTATCCCCGTCCCTCTCTCTCTCCCTCCTTGTGCTCTATCCCGTCCCTCTCTCTCTCTCTCCCTCCTTGTGCTCTATCCCCGTCCCTCTCTCTCTCCCTCCTTGTGTCCCTCTCTCTCTCTCCCCTCCTTGTGCTCTATCCCCGTCCTCTCCTCTCTCTCTCTCCCTCCTTGTGCTCTCCCCGTCCCTCTCTCTCTCCCTCCTTGTGCTCTATCCCCGTCCCTCTCTCTCTCCCTCCCTCTATCCCTCCTCTCTCTCTCCCTCCTTGCTCTCTCCCGTCCCTCTCTCCTCCTTGTGCTCTATCCCCGTCCCTCTCTCTCTCCCTCCTTGTGCTCTATCCCCCGTCCCTCTCTCTCTCCCTCCCTTGTGCTCTATCCCCGTCCCTCTCTCTCTCCTCCTTGTGCTCTATGCCCGTCCTCTATCGTCCTCTCTCTCTCCCTCCTGTGCTCTATCCCCGTCCCTCTCTCTCTCCCTCCTTGTGCTCTATCCCCGTCCCTCTCTCTCTCCCTCCTTGTGCTCTACCTCCCCTCTCTCTCTCCCTCCTTGTGCTCTCTCCCGTCCTCTCTCTCTCTCCCTCCTTGTGCTCTATTCCCGTCCCTCTCTCTCTCTCCCTCCTTGTGCTCTCCCGTCCCTCTCTCTCTCCCTCCTTGTGCTCTATCCCCTCCCTCTCTCTCTCCCTCCTCTCTCCCCGCCCCTCTCTCTCCCTCCTTGTGCTCTATCCCGTCCCTCTCTCTCTCCTTCCTTGTGCTCTATCCCCGTCCCTCTCTCTCTCTCCCTCCTTGTGCTCTCTTCCCCGTCCCTCTCTCTCTCCCTCCTTGTGCTCTCTCCCCGTCCCTCTCTCTCTCCTCCTTGTGCTCTATTCCCGTCCCTCTCTCTCTCCCTCCCTCTCTCCCCTCTCTCTCTCTCCCTCCTTGTGCTCTATCCCCGTCCCTCTCTCTCTCCCTCCTTGTGCTCTCTCCCGTCCCTCTCTCTCTCTCCTCCTGTGCTCTCTCCCCGTCCCTCTCTCTCTCCTCCTTGTGCTCTATCCCCGTCCCTCTCTCTCTTCCCTCCTTGTGCTCTATCCCCCTCTCCCTCTCTCTCTTCCCTCCTTGTTCTCTTCTTCCCGTCCCTCTCTCTCTCTCCTCCTTGTGCTCTATCCCGTCCCTCTCTCTCTCCCTCCTTGTGCTCTATCCCCGTCCCTCTCTCTCTCCCTCCTTGTGCTCTATCCCGTCCCTCTCTCCTCCCTCCTTGTGCTCTATCCCCTCTCTCTCTCTCCTCCTTGTGCTCTATCCCCGTCCCTTCTCTCTCTCCCTCCTTATCTCTCTCCCGTCCCTCTCTCTCTCCCTCCTGTGCTCTTCCCCGTCCTCTCTCTCTCCCTCCTTGTGCTCTATCCCGTCCCTCTCTCTCTCCCTCCTTGTGCTCTATCCCCGTCTCTCTCCCTCCTTGTCTCTACCTCCTTGTGCTCTATCCCGTCCCTCTCTCTCTCCCTCCTTGTGCTCTCTCCCGTCCCTCTCTCTCTCCCTCCTTGTGCTCTATCCCCGTCCCTCTCTCTCTCCCTCCTTGTGCTCTCCCGTCCCTCTCTCTCTCCCTCTTGTGCTCTATCCCCGTCCCTCTCTCTCTCCCTCCTGTGCTCTATCCCCGTCCTCTCTCTCTCCTCCTTGTGCTCTATCCCCGTCCCTCTCTCTCTCCCTTGTGCTCTATCCCCGTCCCTCTCTCTCTCCTCCTTGTGCTCTATCCCCTCTCTCTCCCTCCTTGTGCTCTATCCCCGTCCCTCTCTCTCTCCCTCCTTGTGCTCTCTCCCCGTCCCTCTCTCTCTCCCTCCTTGTGCTCTATCCCCGTCCTCTCTTCTCTCCCTCCTTGTGCTCTATCCCCGTCCCTCTCTCTCTCCCTCCTTGTGTACCCGCTCTCTCCTCCCTCTATCCCCGTCCTCTCTCTCTCCCTCCTTGTGCTCTCTCCCGTCCCTCTCTCTCCTCTCCCTCCTTGTGCTCTCTCCCGTCTCTCTCTCTCTCTCCTCCTTGTGCTCTATCCCGTGCTCTATCGTCCCTCTCTCTTCCTCCGCTCTCTCCCCCGTCCTCTCTCTCTCCCTCCGTCCCCCGTCCCTCTCTCTCTCCCTCCTTGTGCTCTCTCCCTCCCTCTCTCCCGTCCCTCTCTCTCTCCCTCCTGTGCTCTATCCCCGTCCCTCTCTCTCTCCCTCCTTGTGCTCTATCCCCGTCCCTCTCTCTCTCCCTCCTTGTGCTCTATCCCCGTCCCTCTCTCTCTCCCTCCTTGTGCTCTCTCCCCGTCCCTCTCTCTCTCCCTCCTTGTGCTCTCTGTCCCTCTCTCTCTCCTCCTTGTGCTCTCTCCGTCCCTCTCTCTCTCCCTCCTTGTGCTCTATCCCGTCCTCTCTCTCTTCCCTCCTGTGCTCTATCCCCGTCCCTCTCTCTCTCCCTCCTTGTGCTCTCTCCCCGTCCCTCTCTCTCTCCCCTCCTTGTGCTCTCTCCTCCGGTCTCTCTCTCTCCTCCTTGTGCTCCCCCTCTCTCTCTCTCCCTCCTTGTGCTCTATCCCGTCCCTCTCTCTCTCCCTCCTTGTGCTCTATCCCCGTCCCTCTCTCCCTCCTTGTGCTCTATCCCCGTCCCTCTCTCTCTTCCTCCTTGTGCTCTCTCCCTCCTTGTGCTCTCTCCCCGTCCCTCTCTCTCTCCCTCCTTGTGCTCTCTCCCCGTCCCTCTCTCTCTCCCTCCTTGTGCTCTATCCCCGTCCCTCTTCTCTCTCTCCTCCTTGTGCTCTATCCCCGTCCCTCTCTCCCTCCTTGTGCTCTATCCCCGTCCCTCTCTCTCTCCCTCCTTGTGCTATCCCCGTCCCTCTCTCTCTCCTCCTTGTGCTCTATCCCCGTCCTCTTCTCTCTCCCTCCTTGTGCTCTATCCCGTCCTCTCTCTCTCCCTCCTTGTGCTCTATCCCCGTCCCTCTCTCTCTCTCCCTCCTTGTGCTCTATCCCCGTCCCTCTCTCTCTCCCTCCTTGTGCTCTATCCCCGTCCCTCTCTCTCTCCCTCCTTGTGCTCTATCCCCGTCTTCTGCTCTCCCTCTCTCCCCCCCTCCTTGTGCTCTCTCCCCGTCCCTCTCTCTCTCCTCCTTGTGCTCTCTCCCCGTCCCTCTCTCTCTCCCTCCTTGTGCTCTATCCCCGTCCCTCTCTCTCTCCCTCCTTCTCTCCCTCCCACTTTTAATCCACAATTTCCAACTCGCCTCTCGTCCTTTCTCCTTTAACCTTCCTTCGCCCACCCTCTCTCCTTCCGTACAAACATGGAGCTACAGAGGTCCCTCACTGCCTTTCACTCCCTCCCTCCTCTCCCTTTCTCTCTCTCTCCCTCTTCTCTCCTTCTCTCTCTCTCCCTTTCTCCCCTTCTTCTCTCTCTCCCTCTTCTCTTCTCTCCTCTCACCTTCCCTCTCTCCATCTTCTCCCCTTCTCTCTCTCTCCATTTCTCCCCTTCTCTCTCTCTCCTCTCTCCCCTTCCCTCTCCTTCTCTCTTCCTCTCCCTCTTCTCCCCGTCTCTCTCCTTCTCTCGCCTTCCTCTTTCCCCCTTCTCTCTCTCCCTCTCCCCTTTCCCTCCTTCTCTCCTCTCTCTCTTCTCCCCGTCTCTCCTTCTCGCCTTCCTCTCTCCCTTCTCTCTCTCTCCTCTCTCTCTCTCTCTCTCCTCTTCTCTCCTTCCTCTCTCTTTCCCTCTTCTCCCCTTCTCCCCTCTTCTCCCCTTATCTCTCTCCATCTTCTCCCTTCTCTCTCTCTCCATCTTCTCCCTTCTCTCTTCCTCTTCTATCCTTCTCTCTCTTTTTCTCTCCTCTCTCTTTCCCTCTTCTCTCCTCTCTCTCTCTCTCCTCTTTTCTCCTTCTCTCTCCTTTCCTCTTCTCTCCCTTCTCTCTCTCCATCTTCTCCCCTTTCTCTCTCT